TGACAGCAGCAGCATACCCATCCTTGGCCTCCATAGCCGTTGACATTTGGGTGTGTGATTTCCGAGAGTTACTTAGTTTTGTACATAGTGTGCAGGTTAGTTTCACTTGTAAATAGGCACTGAAGCAGAAGGGGTGAGCTGCCTTATTGTTTCTTATAGTGTTTTCTCCTGTTTTTTCAGTTAGAAAGTTAGGTGTAGCACTTGTCTTTTGTTTGTTTTTGTTTCACTTAGGGTTTAGATAGCAGCTCCTTTTCTGAGTAAGCTTGTTTGTTTGTTATGTTGGCCTTTGTTCACCCCGCAGTTTAGCTTTCAGTGTAGTCACAATAAAACCACCTTTAATTTATAAATTGGCTTCTGGATATGGTTTTGGGGACCAGGGCGGGGTCATTTTCCTTACAAACCATATCTTGCCGACCATCTACAGATGCTTGGTGGTTGCAGCTTTCCTAGCGACCTTTTCATGGTTCCCATTTACCTGTCTCCAGTGTGAATGACATTATGATGTCATTGCTGTATATCCAGGTGTTGTGGATCAGGGATTCAATGTCTTGTTCACTCTTGGCATACAGCTTGATGCCATTCATGTACAGGAGGTGGCTGACAGTCTTGTTGATGATCTCACTGACAGGGCTCAGGCCTATGCAGAACAGCATTGGGGACAATGCTTCTCCTTGTTAGATCCCACAATTGATGCTAAAGGATCCCTTTGACTTGAACTGGCAGGCCCCAACACCCTTGGGCTCAACTACTCAGAGTGGCAAGCATGACAAGAGAGGCGGGCTACATGCTAGGCTAAAGACTAGAGCCACACGACCATCCCTGCCTAGACTTTTGTTAGCTAACATTCGCTAACAACTTGAAAACAAGATCTGCCTTGGGTAAAAACAAAAGCGGCGGTGTATGCACTTACATCAACAGCAGATGGTGTGTGGACACACAGGTGGTGGAGAAACACTGTTGTGGGGACATGGAAGTACCAATGGTGAAGTGCAGACTCTTTTATTGACCGACGGAGATCAATGCCGTATTTCTGCTGGCTGTTTACATCCCGCCGCAGTCTGATTGGACCACAGTGCTAGGACTACAGCATGGCGTCATCAGCAAACATGAGACCGCTCATCCAGATGCTGTGTTTGTCGTTGCTGGGGACTTTAATCACTGCAACCTCGGGACTGTGCTCCCAAAATTCTATCAATACGTGATCTTTACAACAAGGAAAAACAAAACCCTGGACCATGTCTACAGCATTGTAAAGTGTACATATAAAGCAGTGCCTCCCCCGCATTTTGTCCCCACCAAGCGATACAAAACATGTCCAAACCAGAAACCCTGGTTGAACTGTGAGGTACGTTCCATGCTACATGCATGCTCCACTGCATTTGTCCCTGGTGATGCAGAGGGCTACACAAAGGCCAGATATGACCTGCATAGCGCCATCAGGGAAGCCAAGAGGCAGTACAGGCTCAAGCTGGAAGGACACTAAAACAACTCAGACTCAGACTACTTTATTTAGTAATAAAATAAATACGATAAATAGTGCAATAAGTAGAGTGCAACAACCTGAGTACTGATTTCTATCAGAGGAACACAGCTAGCTGCAACACACTACCGGTCAAGCTAAATGAGTTCTACGCTCGCTTCAACACCATCAACACCAACCGACACAGAGGGATTCTACCAGCACAGGCAGCACAGAGCTCTAACTCTCTGACTTCGACTGAGGTATGCTGAGGAAAACTAACCCCCGAAAAGCAGCCGGCCCTGACGACATCCTCGGCTTCACCAATGATTGTGTCCCCTCTGTCAGTTTCAGAATTTTTTGGAAGGAATCTCAGGAGAAAGATCTGTCATTTAAAAAAGATTTAATTTGGTTTGACAGCTGAAATTTCAAGTTGACAGCGCCGTGGACCTCTATGTAAATAGGCAGCATGCTTCACAGAAAGGATCACACTGAATCAGGCAGTACAGGTTTTATACTACAAAAATAACTAACTAACTACAATATCTCAATCTGTCAAAGGAGCTTGCAAAGAAATGACGATGACCTGGATGACTGAGAACCTTCACAGACAATATCTCAATCTGTCATGCCGAACGAAGATTCTGACATTCAAAAGTTTGAGTGCCAACTCATAGAAGAAAATTTGCACTAAATGTATGGAAATGATTATAGCTGCTCATTTTAGTAAGATAAATCAAAAAAATTTCAATCCTCACAACTCCCAAAATAAATTAAAGAAAGAAAATTTGGATTAACCTCCAAACTGCTGAGCAAGCTTTACAGATGCACAGTGGAGAGTATCCTGACAAACTTCATCACAGTGTCGTACGGGAACTGCATTACTCAGGGCAGGAAGGCTCTCCAGCATGTTGTCAAAACGGCACACCACATCTGAGGAGTACCCCTACCACCACTGCAGGACATTTACAACATTCAGTGAGGAAAAGGGCACACAACATCATCAAGGACAGCACCCACCCACAGTACACATTGTTCACATCTCTGCCATCTGGTAGATGCTACAGGAGTGTGAAAGCAAGGACAACCAGACTAAAAAACAGTTTCTATCCACAGGCCATCAGGCCACTGAATCACTGAATATGTCAAACTGTTTATCCATAACTGTAAATTTGCAATTTTGCACAATTCCACACAACGTAATACAACTGTAAATACCCATAACCTGTAAATTTGCAATGTATTGCTACATATATATCCTAATATTGCATATTCTGTGTATATTATCATTGCTCTGTCTCACCATTTGTGACACCAAGTGTACCCTGCTATAACAAAAGCAGTAAACAAAAAACAAGTCAGAAGAAAATGCACTTTTATTACTACTACTACTTCTATTAGTCGTGATAATAATAATAATAATAATAATAATAATAATAATAATAATAATAATAATAGTAGATCAACATATTGCTGAGAAGCTGTTATGTGTCTTATGTGTCTAATATTTACGTCTTTTCTCTATTCTCCTTTTAGTACCAATTCAATTTTTAAAAGAAATCTTGTCTGCCACTTGTCAGTTTTTCCTGGGCAGTTCATTCATTCATTCATTCATTCATTCATTCATTCATTTATTCATTTATTTGTTCATTTTCAGGCACAACAAATACCTATAGCTGTAGACCTGTAGTTCAGGTCTACAGTTGCTCCTAAACTGCTGGTTAAGGCCAGATTTGCACATCAAATTTATGAGAAACAAAGGTGCAGTTGATGATGATGGGTGTGACAGGTGTTGTTGATGTGGTGAATGTTTCAGTATAATACCAAGGAAATCGTCTTCCAAGAAGTTTTCAGACTGGAA